TTCATGTGGAACACGATGCAGGCCTTGTTGCCATATAGTTTGCCTTTTTCTTTTGTCATGCTAGTCTTAATTCCTTATGGAAAACCTTGCATATCCAGCTATAATTGTTTAGGAAGGAAATGCTGATGAATCAGATGCAGAGGCGATCATTGATATGGCTGGTAAGGCCTCCCTTGCTGATCAACAAAAACAAGTTCAAGAAAACATTTATTCTCAAATTAAAACCTTCTGTGCATCAATGATGAAATTCTTCTTCCTGATTCAAAGAGCATAAATGAATAATCTGAATCAACTTCGCAAAGGAATACTGCTGTGACCGTAGTGGCCTTGGCCTTGCTGTTGGAAGGATGAGCCCACAAATAAAAGTTCTGTTGATACGTATCTGCATCTTTATTTCAAACTGTTAGAAATTTGTTTTTATCAACTTCGGGACATTTTAATTTCACTTTATTAGTGTTTGGATATTACTATAGCTTTTTACTCTATTTGAGCTAACACTGAGTTTGCTTAAATTTACCCACTTCCTGATTTGTAATTTATCTTAGAATATTTATTGTATCTTATAGAAGTGAATAGATAGTTTACTGAAACCATCTAAGATATTTTTTTTTTTTTTTTTTTCTTTTATTTTGTTATTTGTTTTTTTTCTTTCATAGCTTTGTGTTATTGATTTAAATTGAATTTATGTGGCATCTGGAAAAAAAAGTGAGTGAATTGCGAATAAATTGGTTCCTTTAAGTGCTCCTTGCCGAAACTATATAGTGGCAAGTCATGAAAAATCATCTTATTATGGGCAATTTAGGTAGTACACAATGCATAATAAAATAGTTATTATGAAAAATAACTATGGTCTTGTTGCATAAGTAACTTGATATGGAAGAGCTTGACAGGTCTGGGTATGTGAATCCTAGTAGTCAACTATGGCAAAACTATGAGATCATTCTTAGAAATCTAAGCTTGTTGACAAAAGATCTTGACTTGTGCTTAATGCCTTATCCCATCTCACTTCCCCATTACCGTTGACATTTGGCACTATCAAAAGCAAGGCCTCCAATCTGGCTTTCACCTCTGCTGTTCCCAGCAATACTATAACAATCACACATCTCAGATAACATCTCTTTCCTTGCATTTTCTCTATATCAATCATGACTATTTTCAGGGGAAAAAAAAGAAAAAAAGAAAAACAAAAAGAGAACAAGTTAGTGACTATGAAAAATGATTAGAGACATGTGGGAACTAGGAAAGAAGGATAGTGGTATCAAAAAGCCTCATAAGGCGACCCAGAACTCCTTTTTTCATTTGATGTGACCCATTGTGTGTTTGTGTGTATGTGTGCGTGTGCATCTGAAATAAATAGTTGGGGTGTTAGCATTGTACGATCTTACAAACTTTATTTTTTAATGAGCATTTAGTCATCTTTTATGCATATCTTGGTTGTTTTATTATATGCTAATTTCTTTATATTGTGGTTTAGTCATTTCGATATGATATACAGAACCACAGATTGTTTCCCAATTAATGATACTGATGTTGTTCTGTCCTTTTATGTGACATGTTATTGATGATTAACCATCCATATGAAATTATTGTTATATTGTTTTTTCCTTTAATGAGGTTTCCAGGACCTCTTGGAGCATTGAAGTTATTAAGATCTATTGATGATCAACCAATGCTTTGTCCACCCACCCCCCCTCAACACACACACACACACTAAAACTGTCTGACAAAACTTTATCTGTGGTTTAAACGTTCTAGTACTAAAATAACTATATTGCCACTTGGTTCTCTGAATTTATCTTGATTGCATTCAATGGAAATAGCAGAAGATTACATAATTGTATCTGTTTGTGTGCCTGTATCAAATTTTAATCACTGTAGTCTGTACCTAGCTTGGTCATCTGGCGAATTTATACCTATATTATTTGGTGTGGAACTCCCAATGATTTTGAGTAACTTTTAATGCTGGAATCTGATAACCATGAATTTTCAGCACAGCTGTACCTGATACAAAACCTGTTAAAACCTGTTGAGTTGTCTCGGAGTCTGAAGAATCTCATAGGCTACACTCTTGAGTTGAAACCATCTCAAATTCCGCATAAGGATGCTGGCCAAGGTTTATTCATAGATGGTCAAGCCGATGTTGGTACTGTAATAGCATTCTACCCTGGAATAATTTACTCTCCAGCTTACTATTGTTATATTCCTGGATATCCAAGAGTCGATACACACAACCCGTACTTGATCACAAGGTACGACGGAACTGTTATCAATGCACAGCTTTGGGGTGTTGGGGGTGAAATCCGTGAAGTGTGGGACCTCTCGAGTGTTATTAAATCTAGGCCAAATGTGAAAGATGATGCTAATAATAAAGGTTCTGACCAAATTTGGAAGATGCTCAATAAACCTTTGCAAGCCACACGAGTGGTCAGTAGTGGCGATGTGTTGGAGCGGAGAAACCCACTAGCTTTTGCCCATTTTGCGAACCACCCTGCAAAAGAGATGGTCCCTAATGTAATGGTTTGCCCTTATGATTTTCCGTTAACTGAGAAGGATATGAGAACCTATATACCAAACATAAAGTTTGGAAGTGGAGAGGAAGCGAAGATGAAAAGGTTTGGAAGTTTTTGGTTTATAGGTTCCAATCCTCTTCCTCTCCAATCCTTTCTTTTTGGATGTCATTGTAAAGTTTTTTCAAAGCTGCAATTTGACCTTTTTGATTATAACCTAACAATGAAGTGGACTATGCTGAAATCATCATGTTTACATTCTTCTCTCTCTCTCTCTCTCTCTCTCTCACACACACACACACACACGGCATGGTGAAAATATTATCAGGCCAAATTTATAAGTGGAAGCATGTTCTGAATTATGGTTGCTTGTAATTTGAAGCATATTTCCTAGAAGTAAACTCAAAGTAACATATTTATCGCATATATTGGTTGATTTTAAAAGGCTGAGTGTTATGATCCTACATCCCTTAAGAGTTGGTTTGATCATGTGAATATAAGCTCTTAGGTATCCTCTCCTTGCAAGCTAGTTTTCAAGGGTTAATTCTACTTATGGATTTTTATTATTTGATATAAAATTTGGCTACCATGTCGAGTATAGGATCATGTGAGTTACTGTTTAACGATTCAAGCCTCAGAGGGGGCAACCTATATGCCAACAGAGAGAGCGAACTATAGGCTAGATGAAGACACTAGTATTGTAACAGTACCAACACACTTTTGACAAGTACACAAGCCAAATCTAAGCGTAAAATTGTGTATGGTGAGGTATGGGGAGCTTGAGTTCCAACACATCTTGGAGATGACTTTTTTTCTTGAAACACCATACAAAGTGAGTACTAAACTTTTTCAGTGGTTAGATTTATGATTGTGATTACAATATTCTTTTTTCTAGTTATATTAGTGAGAAAAATATTTAATAAAATATTTAAATGTAAAAAGTAAAAAAGGTAAAATTAAAAATTTAACTACTTTAGTTGCTTATATAAATCAATCAGTTATATAAATCAGCCAACTTGATTGAATTTAGTAAATTATCAAATAACCTTTAATTTTTAATATTCAGTTTTATCAAATATCACCTAAGACAAGTTTGATATGTAGAAAATATTCAGTATTGGAAGAGTGTCACTTGGGGTGGTTTAAGGAAAAGCAAATCAAGCAAGATTTCTTAGGGGGTTTTAACCACGTTAAAATGGGCTAATATATTGTTTGATCTCATATCCATTTTTTTTATTAGTCCATCATAATAACAATGTAAAAAGGTTTAAAATTGAATGGAACAAAAGAATCATTAGGATTTGATAGAGCTTTTATCCGTATTTAGGCCTGTTTGAAGAGGGGTTCAAATAGTTACAAAAATTATTATAAGTTGTTAAATTATTTTTTTACACTTTTACTTATTTATAAAATGTCAAAAAATCAACTCCAAAACAACCCCCTATATTTAAACACCATAAGAAAATGCTGCCCATAAATGATTTTTTAACTAAGCTTTTTTATCAATAGAGACAAGGACAATGAATTTCACATATATTTATTAACATATATTTATGATTTTTGTGTTAGTAATAAGAAAATTTGATTAAAAAAAAGCCATGGGTAAATTATACTGCTAGTCATGGTATTTTAACCCTTATGTCATGGTGGTCACTGTAATTTGAATTAGTTCAATTTTAATCATGAATTTTTGACTTTGTCTCAAATTGGTCTAATAAATTTCAATTGTATGTATGTATGTAATTTTTTTTTTATTTTTTATTTTTAATGAAAAAAGCACACATGAGTAGGTGTCATGCTTTTAGAAATAAAATTATAAATTTAATTAATTCAGTGACTCAATCTGAACTAACTCAATGATCATTTCTCATAAAAAATCCTAATAGTATTATCAATTGAACTAAATTGATATAAAATTTAAAATTAAAAACTAAAACGATAGAAACCAAATGATACAAACATCAAAATATAAAAACTACGAGTATAATTTGTCTAAAAATCTTTTATGTATAAATATTACCCAAGTTCACAATACTTGAATAAAAAGGATATACTACCTATGAAGAACACCGCAAACCAAAATTCAAAGATCTCCACATCTAAAACTATTATAAACCCTTCTTCCCAAAAAAAAAAAGCAAAAAAATTATGAACCCTACAATATCAATGCTTACTAAATCCAAATCATTAACAAAGCTAAGAAACACCCTCTCTCTCTCTCGCTCTCTCTAATATCTTCCAACTTTAGAGTAAGGATCGACTCCACCAAAAATTTGATCCGTTGCATCCATTGCAAAACTTTCACCCCATGAGACTCCCTGATTTTGGCCATGACTTTGAGGTTCATAGTTCAAAGGGTCATCAAGAGCACGAACCATTGAACTTTGATGATTCATATTATGATCATAACAATAACTTCCATAGTTATTATCATGATAGCCAGTCCATGCCCAATTTTGAGGAGGCTCATAATAGTTTACACAAGGCATTTGACGATCATACCCTCCACAATGTGGAACCTCCTCTTCCATTCTTTGCCAATTTTGGTACACACTTTCAGGCTCTTGACCATGGTAAAACGGACGATGACACGACGGTCCAGACCTATCGGAGTCATAAATTGGAGGATACTGAGAAGAAGACTCTGAAAATCCATCATCAATGGCTGTTCCTTTTTCTTTCTCATCGCTTGTGTATCTTTGAGGGAAGCTCGGTTCGTGATCATCTTCATCATCATCATCCGATGAGTTGGCTTGGATGCCAAAGCCATGTGTTCTTTCAATATTGGTATTGGGGTTTGCATGAACACCATTGTTTCTATGGTTTGTACGAACACCATGGTTGTGGTTGTTTCTTGGATTTGCATGATCAATGCCATCGTAGTGGTTGATATCATCGGCTCGGAAATCTGTTTGGTCCCCAATGCTATGCCTTATCGAGTCGTTTTGACCACCAGCATTTCGGTATTTTGGTTTTCTTGATGATCTCCCTGAAAGAGGTTTTGACAAATCAAAAAGTGATTGTTACACTGCAAAGTTTCAGCATAATAAAGAGAAAAGAAAAGAAAAGAAAAGAGAAGAAAGAATTATATTGTTAACAGCTCTGCTTGGTTGGATTTTCATATATATATTTTTTTTTTTCGTTTTTGGTTTTGTTGTGTTTTTAGAAACAAAAACCAAGAAAAGTTTGCAAACATTCATCAAAGTTCATAAACATCGAGTGTTTTCATTCCGTGCAAAAATAATTTTGGAAATTACAAAAAAAAAAACTTTTTTAGTGTTTCTTAAAAAGTGGATTGTCTTCAAAAATTATTTTTGAAAACAATTCTCGGAAACGATTCATGAAACATATTTCTTGTGCTTTCTGAAAAATGAAAACAAAAAATAGAAAGAAACAAAAATACAACCAAACAAAACAATACAATAAAATGAGGAGATTGAAAATAAGAATGAAACAAAAGCTAGTGATTAAAAAAACTATGTAGTCCAAGTGTATAATCTTGTACATAGTTGCAAATAAACACTGCAACTGCAAATTAAATAAGGAGAGAGCAAATATATATAAAGAACCTTTTGATCTCAAACCATGGTGCATTGGTTTAGAAAAATCAGACCCCATTTATCTCCCACAAGTTGGATTTAAACAACTCTCATTGACAAACAATATTAGGACAATCAAGGCCTATTTATAGATGTCCTGTTTAATAAAGAAGGTGAGAATTCTAAATAGAAAGATATTATGCTAACAGAAAATCATTGTATTTTTGGAAATTAATTCCATTAAAAATAAAATAAAATCAGAACGTTGATTTGAATTTTGACTTTTGTTTCAATGACTATTGAGAATTCGAGAAAGGCAATAAAAAATGAAGAAACTTGCCTAAAAACTGTTTTAAAAAAGAGGCAATAAAATCATATGAGGCGGTGGAAATTTCCCTCCCAAAATTCCCTCTCATTTTTATTTTATTTTTTTATTTTTATTTTTTATTTCCAGGATAGGTAAATGCCCTCATCAATTTGCACGATTTTCACTCTTGCACAGGATTCTCTCACAATTCGTAGTTCTCTCCCCCTCACAATCGCACACCCGCATAGGTTTGTTCCCTTTTTGCTTTGCATCTCATTTCCCCTACTTCTGTCTCTCAATTTCTGTTTCGAATCTATGTTTGTCTATTTTCACTTCTTCTACTACTGTCTCTATCTACTCCTTCTGTAACTGCTGTTTGTGTCAAGAAACTTGAAAACTGTTCTGGGTTATTGTTATTATTGTAAAGATTGAGATCCTCTTGGTTCTTTTCTCTCATGCGGCTCTCATCATCTGAAGAACATTTTAAAGAGGCCCGATTGGGTACAATATGCTCAAAGTTACAGAGATGTTGAATATAAGACTGACCTTTTCTTTTTTTTTTTTCTAGAACTAGAAATTTTATACACTGAGTAAAACAGAATCATTGTGCTATTTGAGTTTGTAGGTGTCAGAGAGGGGCATATATACCCTTTTGTATACCCTCTTGGCTTTTTCATGAATAGAATCATAGTGCTGTTGGTGTCAGATAGGGGGTAGAACAGTTTTCATTTTTTTGGTACACTTTTGTGGATAAAATCAGTGTTGTTGTGTTGGATGGGAGGAGTTCTAGGAGTTCTAGAATCATAGTGCTATATGATTTCTCACCTTAAAATGTCTTTCACTATGTAGAATTTGATGAATAACATGTTACAAGATTTGAGAATGATAATAGTCTTATTCATTGCTATATCCAATCTTGGTTTTGAACTATATAAATAATGTAAATATTCATGAAGTGCTTATGAATTTTAAGTTTGAAGGTGAAAATCCAAAAACTTGGCCAACTGAGATTACGAGTCCCTCTAGTTAGTAACCTATAAGGCCAGAATTTTACTCAAATTGTGCTGAAGTAAGGTCCAAGGAAGACACAAATCCTGGTTGTGTGAATGTTATTGTGCTGGGTGGTTTTGATGATGAGACTCAATTTGGGATATAAATTTCAAAGAATGGTGTAGGGCGTCACAAATTGGGAATAAGATTTGGAAATGCGAGAGGTTCGTTGAATCCTTGTCTACGTAGTTAAACGAGGTTTATAATTAAATAAATCATCCAGAAAACTTCCCCCCTTTCTCTTTCTCTATCTTCCCATGTTTAAGTAGGCAAAGCATATAGAGTAATAAAATTGAAACAAAGGTATGGGAAGATTGTAACTGTCTTGGCATCTTATTATCAAAAATATTATTTTTGTTATCTCTGCATATGATTTAATTTTGTCTCACATCATCACTTGTTGGGTTAAGGGTTGTTAATGTCTCTAGTTCTCAACCTTTTCTTTTCACTTATATCTGCTAGTTATTATTATTTTTTCCTTTGTTAACTGTAGTCTCCTACTTGACTGGAGAGCCAACTATGCTAAAATCCACTGAAGATGCTGACCAAGGTTTTTCTCATTTAAGGAGAGGTAATCTAGCTTAACATGGATACTAGTTATCATTTATTACTTTTTTGTTTTTACTCCTTAAGCTTCTATGTTTCAAAGTCTAGATGCCATTACTCATGGAGGGATGTAGAGGTTTCGAATGCATTATTTTGTGTACTTTCCAGAGATTGTCTCATCTGTGTAATTCCCATATAGTCTATACGTTTTTATTCCTCTGTACTTATTCTTGGTGGTTGGCAGCTGAGGCTTATTAGCTTGACAACGCTTTGAACATGTTAAATGTTTTCAAGAGCATGAATTTGTGATTGTGATCTCTACAGTGAATCCTTTTTTATATTGTTGACATAGCATTTTGTCTTTATGATTAGTTTCTCTTAATCCAATATAGTGTTATGTTACAAGCTTTGACCTCTCATTATAAGTTTTCTCTAATAGGTTTTCTTGGCTACTGATGGTGGTCATTTAGTGTACCTAGAAATTGGTGATGGGATATCGACAGAAGTGAAACATGCACAATTGGAGTATGACATATCATGCCTTGATATAAATCCCATTGGTGAAAATCCCAACTGCAGTCAGCTAGCTGCGGTGGGAATGTGGACTGATATAAGTGTTAGAATATTTTCTCTACCTGACTTGAATCTCATTACGAAGGAAAATTTGGGGGGAGAGATTATACCACGCTCTGTTCTTTTATGTTCGTTTGAAGGGGTATGTTTTATTCGTAAGCTTTATGGGCCTTTGTGTTCTGTATTTATCTTGATTTGCATGCATGCAGATTGTTTGTGATAGGGAATGTAGGATTTTCTATTATAGATTCAGAATGCTCTACAACTGCAATATATGCAAATGGCACACGTTCTAGACTCGGTCTTCCATTATAAACCACTTAAATTTTTGGATCTTTGATCCCTTTTGTTTTAGCATTGTTTTGAACCATAATAATGTGGACCAATTTGGCATTTAGATTCCTGAAAAATGAAGCTGGGATGGCTTTGGAACTGAGCGTGTGCCACTTTCGTTAACGTGTTAATTGTAAAATATATCTACGCAGTTTATCCTTACTTCATGCTCCCAATGCTTGATTTCTTTTCAGATATCTTATTTGCTATGTGCCCTTGGAGATGGTCATCTCTTAAACTTTTTATTGAACATGAGCACTGGGGAGTTGACAGATAGGAAAAAGGTGTCCCTTGGGACCCAGCCTATAACACTCCGCACTTTCTCATCAAAGATGATATGTCCTGCATTATGATCATTCTCGTGGCTTTCTTCAACTAAGATGCTCTGCCTTTGTTTCATCTGCATTAATCTGTTTTTCTTGCTGACTTGGATTTATTTTTCCTTGAAAATTTATTTTGGTGTCAAGAAAGTAAAAACTCAAGTCGCATTGAGTATGAGTTTGTTTAAAAACCAACTTGAAAATTTATTTATTCTCCTTTTGTTAGTCAAATTTTTAAATTTTTATTTAAAAACCAACGTAAACTCATTTTTTGAGTATGAGTTTGTTTTTTCCTTAAATTTACAAACTGGGACAACCATTTATATACCAAAAAAATTATCAAACAAGTTTCTATGACCGTTTTTAAAATTTTTGTAAATATAAACTAAAAACTAAAAATGAAATAGTTCCCAAACATATCCTAATTATTTACTTTCGTGGCTAAAATGCAATAATACAAGAAATTACATTTTTCGCAACGCAACAAAATATGTTGCTAAAAGAGAAAAAACGTCGTTAAAATGTTTCGCCGACACACAAAGCTACGTCGGCAACCCGTGAGTAAAAGTGAGTCGGCAAAACTTTTTGCCGACAAAATTATCATTGTGTTGGTAAAAGTAAAGTCTTTAGCGACAAACATAGTCATCGGTAAAAGCCTTCATCTATCGTC